GAAATTCCTTAGGCCATCTCCCACCTGCTTCTCACGTATTTTTCTTCTTGAATTTCTTTTTCTCCAAGGTGTGTATGTCAAAGTCTCACTGATGAACCATAATAAATTCATCAAAAGTAAAAAGACAGCAGCTGTTCTGGGAACTCCCAATCCAGTGTATAATGAAACCTTCAGTTTCAAGGCAGATCAGACAGAGCTGGATACAGCAAGCCTGAGTCTATCTGTGCTCCAGAGTATCAAGGGAGAAAGTAAGCTACGTAAATTATTACAGTCAAGTTGTCATAAATCTCTTACTAATTGGAGACATGTTTAAACCCGGGAGGAACTAATTCCTTTTCAGCAATAATCATAAAACATATAAGATTTTTGGGGTATTTCACAGGCTGTTTCTTCAAAAAGCAGAACAACTTATTTGCAGTTAAGCATATGTCTCCTTCAGAGGCTAAAGATAAATTTAACAGAGGGTGAATAAAATAACCACAGACTAGTCATTGTCAGTAAAAGGTGCTGAACTTTTTTCTGTATTATTTCAGTATCCTATTAAAACAAGCTTACGCAATTATTCTGTGAACATTTGTGGGTAATCCTCAACCTCCAAAATTTTGAGGCCATTCACTCTTGCTAACCAAATTTGAAAGTGGAATAGGAATTTTAATTATCCCAGCAGTTCATGCAGCGAGAAAGAAGAAAGAGATTAGCAACATCCCCGTTCCCTGGCAGAAAACCTGATACGTGAGGCCACCTCTTACTAATTGTTACAAGAATCCATTAAGGATTCTCTAAGGAGCTCCACTTGGAGAAGTAAATCAAAATTCAATATTTCCACTGCTCACAAGGACATCTTCCCTGCAGTGCAAATATGATCTTGATAATGTAGCATTAATACCCTCATTTAGATTCACACACTCCTAAAGAAAATTCCTTTAGGTGAGATTTTGGGGAGGTACTTTGGCTTTGAGGATTGATGAGAACTAGAATCAGCACTTGAGTCTTTCATCGTTTTCACTCGCAGACAGTAAATGCTTTACAAACTATTCTGAAGTTCATGCCAGACCAGTTCGAATCATTTTCCCCATTCACAGCTGAAAAGTCCAGGCGTGAAGAAACAATTTGCTCCTTGGCAGAGGGTGGTCAGTGGCAGTCCACATACTGTGCCTCCAAGCTGTCTCAATAACTACATTTATTCATTCCTAAGCCAGAGCACCATATGAATCCTACTGAGGTTGCTGATGCCCAAAACTAGGGCAAACTTCCACAGTAAACTTCAGGTAGAGGAGCTGGGCAGATAGAGATCTTTGTGCCTTGAACACAGTCTAGTTTAAGTGCAGGCCTGCATTGACTAAGTACACACTTACTGCAGTACCTGAGTCTCAGCAGGTAGAAACTACAGAACCTGAAATCCAGCATGAATTCCTTGACGAATATTTTGGTTTAGTAACTTTCAGAATATGCATAACCCAGAGAAATATAAGTTAATATGCAAATTTAGGCAAGGATTTCATTACTAACTGCTTATTTTTTTTCCTAGAAACACTTCTGCTAGGACGAGTAGTAGTTGGGCCTTTCATGTACACACGTGGCAAAGAACTTGAACACTGGAATGAAATGATCAGCAAGCCCAAGGAGCTGGTTAAGCGATGGCATGCTCTCTGCCACAGCATGTAGGCAGTACTGATAAAAAAAACCAACCTTAAATTGGAAAAGCTCTTACTATCTTTCTTATCTAAAGGGTACAAAAATATTTGCTAAGATTTTGTATTCTAAGTAGACAATAATAAAAGAATTGAATTATTTCCTTAACCAAACAAAAATAAAAGATTTGGTCCCTGGTAGGCTGGAACTCTCCCCTTTTCAAAATGTATGTTCACTTTATATAACACACAGCAGAGTAAACAAAACACAAAGCCAAACATGATCTCCCAGTATTAGTTATTTTGATTAGTAAATTCCAGTTCTTGGTCATGAGTTCTGTGCACAAATGATCACCTATCATGTGGATAGAATCCAAAATGACCTAAAAATTTTCAGTGATGACACCAGGCCTAACTGCCCATGCATTGCATCAACACAGGCAGAGTGGCTTCACCAAAAAGGGTGGGAGCCCAGTAAGATGCCAAAACTGACAAACCCAACTAATAAATTTATTCAAAACTAATAAGTTTATTCAAAATAGCAGCATTATATTTAAAACCTCTTTTGATTAGGAAGGGTGGAAGGAACTGTTTATGGGTCAAAAACCCAGAAGCACCTGTTTCCCTCAGCACAGTGTATTTCTTGCAGTTCAATGTTTTCACCTGACCCCAACATACAACACTCTGTGTTGGCACAAGCATAGAAGGGACAAGCATAGAAGTCATGAAGTCACAAGTGATTGGAGGTTTCCATGAGTATTGGAATACTCTGAGAACATAAGAAAAGGACCTGTCCTGCCCTTATATATTTCCCTCTAAACATGTCTCTGCTGGAGACAGCGCACTGATTTAAAGAATCTTGGGTTTGACCTGGTATGACCATTCGAACATTGAAAATCCAATTAGCTTAAGCCCCCAGGGCATATATCTGTTTTAGCAGTAGAGTTATCTTTGTTAAGTAAATTACTCTTCCATAAAGTAATTTGGAGCAATTATTCTTAATCAAAATAAAATAGAACATTCTTCTCTTCTTGATTGTTCACTGGGGACCTGAACTCTGTGCCTTTCACACTGTACAGTCATAAGCCAGCCAGACTGACTACTGCAACAAAATATTTTGTACAATTGTGTTCCAAGAGGACCATAATCTCTACAGCTGAAATAAAAACAACTTCCTTTCAAACAGGATACAATAGTAATTAATTAAATATATTAAAAAGATGGGACTTCTTTGGAGAGATGAGAATGCTTTCCCATTTCGATAATATTGTTATTATCTAAAGGAAATATTATGAATGAGAAGATATCACAGAGTAATTGTAAGATAACAGACTTCCCTGATCCACCATCTGAAATGTTACATGGTACCCTCAGTCTGTCTTGCTAACTGCACCCCTGGATACAAGATGAGCCTAGATGCATTACATTAAAACTGAATTATACAAAGTCCTCAACCCTAATTATATCTTGGCTAAACGAGTAACACCAGCACCCTCAACCCCAATGAGCTGTTTTCAAATTTTAGTCCTACAAAACTACCGTAAACCAATCTGATAAGCAATATGTTTGATCTGGGAAGGAAAACTGTACAGTTATGCACTTTACATATTAATATAATAAAACAATTTCATGGAAGAAATTTTTTCCTTTATCACTTAAATAATATCAATAAAGATCTTAAAAGCAACCTGTTAGTAACATTTCAGACAGCTGGTTTACTAGTTTGTGCAGGAATATGCACGTAATGTACAGTCCCTATTAACAGGTCATCTGACTTGATGTACAGTATCGTCCATGTAATTAAAAAATGCACTGTACTAATGTGATTCTCTTTCCTTTCTGCTTCTTACATATTAAAGTAACAATGCTTCCAGCTTGTATGTTCAATAATTCCAGCTAAAATAATGAGGAAACATATTTAAATGCACTTACCAGTCATCCAAGTGAAGTAAATGAGAAAGACCCTTTTTGACTCTTCCTGAACAAGAGCTATTTAAGTAAAGCAAGAGACATTATAAGGAGCTACAATACAGTATTATTGTCAAATGATGTAGCAATTATTTTTAACTACTGCCTTTTATATACCTTTTATCTGATCCTGTGCTTGAGACTTAAATTGAGATGAAGGAAGAGGAATGATTACAAGACTGCTCAGTGCCCACCAGAAGTACCTTTCCTCTAATAAATGTTAAATTTTTACAAATATGCATAGCACAGAAAACCCCAAGAAACATACAACAAATAAATGCAAGATCATAGAAAATGTGACAGCTTCCTCAATGCTTCCCATTACTATTGACAAGTACAGGAATTTCTCAAGCTCTGCAATAAATCTAGCATGTAACTTCATGACAGTACAACCCCATCTGATGACAGCGAGCAGCAATTCACCACCACTGTAGAACAAACACGAATAATGGTGACATTCTTGTTCTAGAGAACAGGATCCTGGAGAAGCCCTACCACTAGTCAAGCAGAGTATTTATTTATAAATCCGTTTTGGATCACTCTTACCTCTTTCTCCCAATTACAATGATATCTATACTATTCTTTTAAAAAGCCTAATGATCACTGCCATCTGCACTCATCTGTCCTTCCTCTAAGGAAATGAGAGACCAGATTTGAAAATCACTTGCTCCTAAACATTCTAAAAGCAGCAGCTTGATGAAACTGAAGGGGAGAAAGATGCACCGCGGGTGATAAAGCATCGGAGAGCTCCTTCAGAAGAAATATCTGTGCCAGGCACAGAAAGTAAAGTGACTTCCTCTTTGAAAGGTAGGGAGAAAAGTCTGGAGTAGTAAACACAAGGCAGCAGGACCTATAACTTTTACACAGAATTATTAAAATGAAGATAGGAACCAAACCATGGCATCATGTTTGCAGCTTGGATTTCAAGAAGGAATGCTGTTAAACATGAGTCAGAGGGGCGATCTGCAAAACCCTGAGAAGAGAATGAGGCAGTTGGGTCCCTGTCAGCTGGAGAGACCTAAGCCCAGCAGATGGAACTTGGTGGTTACCCACACAGAGCTCGGCAATCCAGAGGACATGACTTCTGCTCCAAGGCATCAAATCAACCCGCTGAGACTACGCATTGACAGGATGTAAAACAATCTTTAGGGTTTCTCTAATGCAATTGATGACTGCTTCTCACGAGTCTTACTGAACTCAAAATGCTCAAGCAAACAATCACAACATCAAACCAAAAGACATAACTAAGTTACAGATAGCATATAGAATCAGACAAACAAAAATCTTATAACTAAAATATTACTGAATTCTGTCTGCCTTCCTCTAATCTTCCAGATCTGAGGAAAATTCAGTCTCCCAATTGTAGTGAACTTTTCTGAGGAGAAAAAGGCAAACACATACCCAGGAAGAGTTTATTAAGATAAAAATACAGGTATAAAAATATACTTTATGACAATTCACCAGTATTACAGCAGCAGTATATACTATTAGCACATATTCCATATCAGTCCTTTAGGTGGTTTTGCTTTTTTCATAAGTTAAGAATAAAGTCCTTTATTGTAATTTTTTTTAAGATATTTGCCTCCTTCACCTAACTCGTTTTTCTTCTGATTACCATCTGTGTGTTCTTACGGTCTTTGTTACTCAGTTACCGCAGAGGTCAGTACTTCAAAGATCAGGATGAAAATTTAGCAGATGGAAATCCTTTTGCAAAGGGTAGCTGTTCTCATCTAGCACAAAATGGCTCCTGATTTCCAACAAATAGGATGCTTCTGTATCTGTTAGCAGCGAATGACACAGATCTGCTACTACTGTGCTGTAGGTTATATCTGAGGAGGGCACTGCAAAAGACAACAATTCAATTTACACTTGATTTTCACAACAGCACCTAGCATTCAAGTTCTATCTCCATAAAAGCTCCACTGAATCACTGGAAATGCAGTTCAACATCTGAGTAGAAAATTAGCTTTTATTTTTAATTATGTTTTAAAAACAACGAGCTGAGCCTGTTTCTCACCAAACTGTTAACATCTGTGAATCACGTAAAATGCCTCTCAGGTCAAACAGGATGTATCAAGTGAAGCTTGTCTGAACCACTTCTCAGTGTTTCACATCTTGAAAGCACATCAACTATTTATAAAAACTGCTAAAAGATTCTATTTTGCCTATAAGGAATCCATTTAGCTATTGAATATTTAGCTATACAGTTACACCTATTTAGTTATATAGTAAATGTTCACAGCATCTCGCCTCTTGTAGCTGCCACCTGTACTCTGAACTTCTTTCTCAGACAGCAACTGAAATATTCTCTGATTTTGGTTGTTGGGTTGTTTGTTTTTTTTTTTTAAACTGTCAGTAACTAAAAATTTTGATTCTGATGTCAATTTGCTGCCCGTTTCTATCATAAATAATTCATGAAACAGTACCTAGTAATCTGTTCAGCCAGTCTGCAGGAATATTGAGGAAGATTTTTTCCATCAACTCAGACACGACATGAACATAAATTTCATATCCTTCATCTTCTACTGTCATCAGAGCAGGTCTAGATCAGAAAACAAAAGTCTCTTGAAAGACAGCTGCTACATTTTGGGTTTTTTATTGAAGCAAAATTTCTGAAAGTAAGACAATTTAATATTACTCTGCAACATAACACCAAGAACTCGAAAAACAAGAAAATCTCTATGCGCTCATCTGTCAAATCTGTAGCACTGGAATCAGTTTGAGGTGTATATACTGAATTTACTACTCAATGTTAAAGTAACTTCTAAAGTAAGCCTTACTTTAAGACAACTGCTGAAAAAAATGCTTTATGACGTCTTCCTTGGAAGACAATGAGAAATGCACTGTTATAAGTGTTACTTATGGCTCTGAACTTTAAGTATAAGTGTTTATATCTAAGTATATGTACCTACAAATATACAATGCTTACATAACATATTGAAATGCAAAGTAGGGAGATGAGCTTAGGTGGATCATTTGGAATTGTATCATCTATATCAACCTCACCCAATATAATCTGTCTTAATACATCACTTTATAGCCACATAATACCAAGGTACATCACTTGTACCATGACAAATACCAAATGATTTCACAAACCATTAAACAAATAAAAAAATCCTTCACTGGAAATATTACTAAGGTGATGGATTCTTATTAATCTAATCAGAGCAAAATTTCAGTGTAAAAACAACAGGCTTTTCTCTGAAAAAGTTGGACATGTAAGTTCCACCAGCTGTGTTCACATGCTGAGAGTACAAACATCACAAATCTATCATTTTTCTACCACCTTTTGTGAAGAAGCAAAGTGAGGTCCTTCAGGCCCACTGAGAGTCTATAATCTTATGACAGAGTGTGGGAACCTTTCCAGTTAAGAAAAAAAACCTCTTCACACTTAATCCTCCCTGATAGGAAAACAAACAGCATATAAACTTAAAGATGCAAGACCATTTTGCTTAGAGGAAAAATACTAATTCCCTACCTTGTTAGATAAAGAGGATATTAGTATTTAAGTCAATGATTCATTAAACTCACTATGAAAGAGTTTAGAAAGAATTTGAGAAAGAATTTAGATAGAAAATTTACATATTCTACAATTCTGTTACATCCGTGACCGTCTCAATTAACATTCTCTAGCTCCACATCTTTTAAGTCACTGTGATACATTTTGAAAGCCCAAGATAAATTTAAAAATTGAACAATTAGTTAATAGCAATGTTCCTACATCAACTGGATCCGCTTAGTTTATTTTCTCTAAGTGTGAATGTATGTGTCTCACAGTGCCATCTGGTGATAACTCAGTATTTCTGCTCTCTGAGAATGCTGATTGAAAACATTTATCAATGTTATTTCTGCAAGGCTAAAACTGATTATTCAGTTTAAAAATATGGTTCTGCATTCCCACGATTTCAAACTCAGGCTGAACAAGACTCTTTAAGTTTTCCTTCGGTCCTCAAGCTTCTACTCCATCTTAGCTTCATCTCACACAGTACTGGGTAAACGTCATTTCTGTATGACATAGTACTCAAAGAAATTAAAAAGTTACAATTTAAACTAAGAATATCACACACAAATAACGACAATATAATACAGCAATTCAGGAAAAACTCCTTGAACATTCAATTTCACTTAGAAAGACAAGGACTGCTTACCACACCTTAAATAAAGAATTTTATATATAGGGGAACTTAAAATGGAGAAAGTTGCAGTTTACTTCCCTAATAGTAAAAAGTATTTTAGCTTTATTTTGTTTACCTGTAGAATGTTTTTACTTTGTTGTATGGCAAACATCTAATACATTGCTTGTAGATCATGTTCTCATCTGCCTGCAGTTCCAAACCACATTTGGCACAACCTGAATATGTAATCATAGGCAGAGAAGCCAAAACACACTCCAGTGAAGTGTCAGCAGAGAAGATGAGTTGCTTGTACTGACCAGTTGAAATGGTAAACTTCAATTCTAAGATATGGGCTTTCACTTGAATCACTCCTACAAAAACAAGTTCAATCAAATATGAATTCAGTTTTATTTATAACTGAAAGCAAAAGCAAGAGCTGCAGCTGATTCAAAACCAACATCACTATCAATAAAACTTTCTGCCTTTTTTTCCCTTTAGTAACACATGCTCATATTTTTAGAGATATTTTACGTAAGGAAAAATCACTGTGGTTAAATACTATTTTAAAATGTATAAAAGTACACTTTAATACTACATTTTCAGGTTGTATTGTCATAGATGCCTCTACAGAAGTGCCTGAATAAGACAACAAAATTGTGCAGATAATTTCCAAGTGATTTTCTTTCCACACTGAAAATCACAGCTTTAACAAATTAGCTTTCCATTATTTTAACATAAACCACAGTTAAATGTTGCAACACCAACTTTAGTTACTTCCTAGAATTTAACACCAACCCAGCAATCTTTTAGGTTTATCTGGGAGGGGGTGACTACGTAAAATGTTTTCTTTGTTCTTTTGTAAGAAGTTTTCAATAGCAGTAGCTGGTTTACTCTTGATTTAGAGAGTTCTAGTTTTGGAGAAATACTATTTGACAAGCTTTCAGTGATGAATCATTTAATTACAAGGCTGGTTGGTGCGGATAACTAAAGTCAGCATTTCTCCCTATGTTCCAAAGCTGTCTTTGTATGGTACCACACACCCCACCTATCTCACCACTGGGCTCATGAGATGAAGGCTGCATCAGTTTGGTTGAGTACTGAGCAGCAGCCTCCAGAATAAATTCAGACTCCCAGACCTGTACTACCTTAAAACATAAGCATTTTACTTCACCAGCAGAGCATCTATTCTGCTTAGTTAAGCATTGCACAAGAGACTACAGAACTACGGACAACAGTTACCTGAGCATTTTTCCTCCAAGTGTGCAGAGAGCTTTGTCAACTGCATGAGGGATGTTTGGCTTTTCTGAAACTTTTCTTTAAATTCAACTGCCCTTTTGTCATCATCAAACAAGCACTCACAGGATGACCATGGAGTTGTGTGCAGTTCCAAGTCACCTGAGACAGAACTACGTTGGACCAGAAGGTATTTGAAGTCCCATATGTGATCTATTGAACAAAGAAAGCAAACAGAAGAGTATATTTTCTTATACTGTGGCTAATTTAAAGCAAGCCAAGGTCACTTACAAGTTTTAGCATTTTCCTGTTTTGGATTAGAGCCTGATTTTTGGTGGTAACATGCTACAACTTCAAGCCCATGAAAAATGCGCTGTCAGATGCACTGTTTTACAGTGAAATACTTCCAAAAAATTGTCTGAGCATTCATCTAGTTTCATGCACCTCATATCTGACTAGAGATCTTGCAGCCCTCAAGAACTGAGCACGCTTCAGTCCAAAGGAATGTTTCAGGCAGTAACACTACAGCAACACCAAGGGAAAATCTAAACAGGAGGAAACAAACAGACACTTGGCAAGAGGGGATATACAGAAATAAGGGACAGAGTCTAACTAGGGAACAAGATTTGGCTGACACCTGAATTAAACTATTACTGAGATCCTCAACATTCCCCTGTTGACTAAAAATCTATCAGAAACGTGAGTAAACTATAAGTAATCAAGTTTACAGAAACATATTTAATGAAATACATCTTTATTTTTTGGCAATCTAAACCAGGTGAGTGTAAATCATGAACTGAATGTCTGATGACTGTGTACTGGAAGTCCAAACTGATTTTTAGCAAGAGATGAAAAATAAATGATATTTAGATGTCTCCATACCTTCCTCTACAAGACTAAGGAGTTTCTAATCTGCTCATACAACCAGTAAACACATAGCAGAGCTGTGGTACAACTCCTGCCAAGGACTTTGTGGACATCGTGGTTCTCCTGTAGCCCACTCACACTATTTAGCTGCTGTACTGTGTATGCTCTAGTATCCTGTGAATTTATCTTTTTGGCTATCTTACTGGAATCAAATGTTCATGGTTTGTACACAATTAAGTATTTGAACAATCCCCCATCTTGAATTTCAAATAATCATTTAGTCATAAAAATGCCAACTGCCAGATGCACAGAACACTAGCTGGAGAATAAGACACAAGGTTTACAAACACAAACAATACTACAGAGATCTACATGTTATACTTTTCCATTCTAAGCATCAGAGAATGATATATTGTTGTGTCTAATAAATTACCTTTGGTATCCTCTTTTGGCAGCTACCAAAAAAAATCAAATTCTATATTTTTAAAAGTAATATTCTAGATGACTGAATTCTGTAAGATTTCTAAGCATCTAACAAACAGTATACACCTGCTAACACTCAGGTATGCACAAAAATAAGAGCCATGTAGGCATTACATAGAAAAGTTATTGCTTGAATTGGACCATTTTCTTCAAGTAGTTTAAAAGGGTAGGTCTTGCAGTTAAAATGATTTCCAGGAATGGAGATTACTTATAAATTGAAGTAGAACTGGCAGAATTCAGAGTGTCAGAATTTAACAGGTAAAGATTCACTATGAAGTTGTTTAACCTTTATGGATTTTATCTTGTACTGTATGAAAGCTGGCTTTTTAGGCAGGCATATTCAGCATTTCAAGTAATGCACCATTTACTTCCTAAGTGTATTCATTGATCAGAAGCATAAACTGAAGTTATCAATTTAACAAAAACCTACTTTCACTTATTTTTAAAGAACAAAGCCAGGAAAAAGTCAGAATTTGGTAACAGTCAGTCACTGCTGAAACACAAGCTATGTAATTAATGCAAGAGATGGTTTTAGGCAGTTACAGCCAGACTAGATTGCAAGACCATTCAGATATAAAGCCTGACACTGCAGCAAGGTGGAAAGCAGAGAATGAACATCAGAAGTAGAAAAAACCAGCAATTCATGCTAAACTTGACATCGATAAGGAAGACCCAGCAAAACTGTAATAGTTAACACTCATGGTTTTTAATAGTTAGATAACCAGGCACTAGTGCATCTTGTCTCTAGATTCAAATTTTTAAATATTTATGTCTCCTCGGTCTTCTAAGGTAAGTGCATTCAAATTCTGATGATGATGGCATTGCTCCTAAACAGAGTAGACATGTTAGAATTGCTATCAGATATGTTACCCTTGCAAGGGAAGTATTTAAAGGTTGAATAGCAAATGTTACCAGCAGAACATTTTAAAGATATTAACAGCATCACAAAAATCCTTCTACAGCAACCAGCAGGTACAAGGACTTTACCTTTTTTCCTTTGAAGCTGAGGGCACCAGGCAGCCCCTGCTCCCCACAGAACCATCCTATAGCGTTGATCTCTGTTCTGTTCTACTGTTAAAATAATTTTTCTTTGCCTGCCACCTTTGTAGCTATACACAGATTCTGAAAAAATTGAAATTACATTACTTCTACAGTAAAAACATGTAACCCCAGTATTAAGGTGAAATCATGTTGCTATCATATTTTACAGTGCAATTGCAAGGGAAGAAGAATACACCTACAATTTCTTCAGGACAGGAAACCATCTGATTTCTTCAGCAACATGAATCTAGTTTGAAGGAGTGCATAAAGTAGACTAAATTACTTTTATCCACCTAAATACTCAGCAACTGGACACCCCCCTCTGAAAAAATAGGTATGTGAGCATCTTTCAGCTCCCACTCATCCTGGCTTGTATTGAGTAGAAACAAATTTTACTCAACCTCTCAGCAACTGATTGTCATAACTGAAAGTTAAAGTTCCTGTAACTTCTGTGGAATACACTAAAAAGCACTTCTCGAGAAGTCTTCACATAAAAGAAAACCACAGTCATGTACAAGGCACACTACAAGTATTAGGAACAGTACATATAAATTGAAACAATTAGGATCTCTACGTGACTCTTACCCAGCATACTGCCTATCTTAGTTCCACACTAAAACTACAGTATCCTTAATAAAAAAATAATTTTTCAACAAGACCTCTGGCATTAAATATCTAACAGCTCTGAGATTTACATACTATAGCAAATATGAAGATTTCTATCTTCCAAATTCTCCAATTATAATGAATAAATATGATATTGACAGTGTGGGTAAAAGTTTGAATCTTACTAATACAAGTTGATAGTGCAATATGATCAAATTCATGTGCAAAGCTTGAAGTCAAGCACTGAGAACATTTTGCCTTGCAAAATTACTATTTAAGTTTCATCCAACGCAGAAGCTGAAGTCCAGTGCGTGAACTCACCTGTTAATACAGCAATGTCGATAATTTTCAGGATTGAGTGCACCAATGTGTTTGGCTGGAGCTGATCTAGCTGCATGTACTGAACACTATCCAGTCTCTGAACTTGTCTTCGTGGAATGTCTCTGAAGTGTGGAAATTCTGATGATATGTATGCCAATAAGCCATGGAGAACACCATAATCCCCTAAAGGATAAACTTATAGGAAAAAAAAAAAGTCAAAATTACATACTATTCTTCATGCTTAGAAGTATAAAACTTACTGCTTGGAACATATTTACACTCATAAAATCAAAACTGTTTCAGAACAATCTTAAGGCAAGAAAACCTTGAGATGTGTAACACGATCTGAAATTAAACTGTACTTCATTTGCCTCCTCTTGATAACATCCCGAAGCTAAGCTAAGTACAATACTTTAAATTACACTAAATACAGCAAAGAAATCTTGTCTCATAGCTTGGTAAGAGGAATAGCTGCTCTTGACCATTTACATCAGAATCTGCCTCAAACAGCTGGCAACAATGGACATCACAAAGACAGTAAGAACAATGCAATCATGGTGGTACTTCCACTGTATTTTTTCCTTAGTCTCCCATAATGAATTACTTTCCCTGGATGGATCTACTTACTCTTTAAGCCTCTGAAGTTTTTGCAAAAAGTTTAATCCTTGGGCAATTTCAGACATCAAATGGTCGAGTCCTGGGATAACTGCTCTTTCTTAAACTGAACTCACAGAACTCAATTTTTCAGAGTTTTGAGCAGTAACCACCAAACTTTACCATAAACTCCACATGCCTATCTGATGTCATTATGTCCACATGTTGTCCACAGGTGTTCCTGTCATACTTTTCTACAGTGTTTTGTACCTCTCAGTTGCACATATTTCCATTTTATTCCATGTGTGAGGCATTGCCAGCAAAACAGAATACTTTAAATAGCTATTTTACTGTGATTTTCATGGAAACTTATGCACTATAATCTTACATTCTTCTGGATTGAGAGTTGAGCAGTTCCCCAGATTCAGTAACTGGCTGGTAAATGTAGATTGAAGCATGATTTCTCCACACCAAAGATTCTCATACATTATTATATCTGCAACAAAAAAGCAACCTTATCAGCTCATGTATCAACAATATTGAAGTGTATCATATTTTCTCATTAGTTTGATGTAATTCTTAAATTCATTAGCCTCCTAACAGGCACTGTTTAAGTGAAGTGGGTGACCATATTGGATAAATTATTATTGTACAAAACTTCAAAATTAGTAGTACAGTACTAGGCTTACCTAGAAACACTTTTAATATATTTTGCAATAAGAATGTCTAAGCAGAAAAGAAAAAGGACAACTTGTCTTTAATTTCTTTGAAATATCTACCTTTGAGCACTTAAAGAACTCTTAACAAAGAGAAATAGGCACCTTAAACTGTGGTGCCTATTCAAACAATTTGATATTGTTTAACTTTTTTGCATATTGCCAAACCTAAATGGCTGGATCACTAACAAGTTCTGGGCCACTCCGGCCCCAAATTAGGTGCAATATTGTTTTTGAAGTATTGCATTTGCTCACAAGATGTATTCTCTTGAAGAGAGGGTTTTGCTCCTGTCAGGTACTAAAGAGTACAAAGGAATTATCAAGAGGAATCTACATTATTAGTTGACATGTTATGAAAGAGGTAAACTACAAACAGCATTTTGTATTTCTGCAGTCTGTGTTGGTTACCAATTCACAACATGATCCATCTCAAGATGCTACTGCTACATTACAAAGTCCTTCACAGGAGGAAGAATATTTCCCATCTTGAGACTGAACTTCCCATCACAATTTTTTGGTCTACCTGCTGGTCCAACAGCAGAGTTACAAAGAAGTCTATGAGTCAAACAACTAGCACACCTGGTTTGTAGTATCACTTGTACTTTTCCAGAACAACTGTTGTAAGACACAGACACCTTCCAGAATACATCTGACTACCCATGGCACTGCTGTAGTGTCAAGGCATGGCTGTGTCTGTGGGCAAACCTCTATGGGACAGTCAGTGTTCCACTGGCAGCATGACTGAGAGTTCAAAGCGATGCTGAGCAATGCAAGCGATGCAAGAAAGATACTCAAAAATGCTTAGCCATAGTTCCAAATTACTTGTTACATATTCTTCTACTTTAAATGAAAGTTTAAAACTTCTTCTGCTACTTTAAACTTCTACTTTAATACTTTTAAAAAGGCAAATAAAAGAATTCTCACCTGTAAGCAGCACAACATCCCCAGGAAACACAGTGAGGGACCAAAATGCAGCACCACGCCACAGCACCACCTTTCTCTCAGTTTCTGACTGGTCAATAACAACAATTGTCGCTACAGGAACTTTACATGGAGATTTTGGTCTAGTCTTTACTTGTATTTCTTTGATATGAGAAGGATGTAGTACTGTGACCAAAATATTGTACTTTTGATTTTTGCAGCAGCAATTCTTAAGTGATGATAGTTTCTTCTGAAGTTTCTTGAACTCTGTCATCCTCTCTTGATCCACTTTAATACCAGGACCAGGTAGAGAAGAATTCAGTTTAGCTCTCTTGGATACCAGCTGCCTTTTAAACACTGAGTGAAAAAGATGAAAGGAATCTTCACATTTGCGGGGTCTTTTAGAAGAGTTCTTATGAGAACAGTCTACTTGAGAGCACAATATTCCAGAGCTCAGTGGTTCAATATGGATTTCATTTATCAAGGGCTCATCAGGAACTTCAATTTCTTGTAATTTCCCTATGTTTTCCTGAGCACTTCCTTCTTGTTTCGTAGCTTCAAAACAAACATTTTTCCCATCATCCTCAGAACTGAAAAGATCAAGAGAATTTGTATAGTCTTCCTTATATTCATTTTCAGCCACATTAGTACACGTTCCAACACCAGAATCAAATTGGAAGTGATCATACTGCCTTTCTTCAGGTTTTTTGCCTGCTTCTGTTTCTGACAGTTTTATGATTCTTTCCGGCATCTCACTCCGCTCCTGTGCAAGAACAGCCATCTGACTTGATGTCACTACGCTGCGAAACTCAGTATCTGTTGACACTGCAAAGCTCGAACAACCGTTTGGTGCTTCTGGTTTTGACCCTTGACTTTTTCGGAAAACCATATCCAGATATTGACCTAGACGTTCATGATGATCACTTCTGCCACCTGCCTGCAGTCCCACAGACAGATTTATGCTGATCTGCTTCGTACTGGCAACCAACTCGGAAATGTCGGCGCCGTTCACTTCCGAACGACCGGATTTTCTCTCCGTGAGGTCTGAGCAGCAGCCACGCGATGGTTTGCCTTGTCCAGCCGATTCTGTAAAGTTCTGTGCAAGGTGTTGATCTGCAGCCTGATTTACATTTGCAGGTGTGTATCTATCCTTAGATATCTGACAATCAGAATAAGTTAAACTTTTGGTCTCTTTAGGTGTGCTGGCACAACTTACTGCCGCGGGTACAAGAGATGTCAAACATTCTTTTGCTGCCACTGACCTTCCCTGTTCAGACTGCTGAGTGCTGCCATCCCTTGTAGGAACTGCTCTGACTGTGGAGTTTCCTGCCTGGAACACTGAGGGCTCAGCAGCACCTTGGACTTTTTCAGAAAAAAGGCCATGTGCATCACACAAATAGTGCAGCTCTCTCCATTTTTCAGCAGTAGGTGCTGAACTACTTTGCTCTAACGCCTCCAGTGGGCCTGGAATATGGGGTGCTCCCACAAAAACATGAATCTGAGGTCTTTTTGACATTTCTGACTGCTGTGCAAGTTGGACTTTAAAAATGTGGCTTATGCAATAAGCACAATAATAAATATTAGCCAATGCAAAAAAAAAGTATTTTACTTTCTCTTAACAACTTTAAAAATACATAAAATTCAAAGGAGCATTTCACAGTTTAACTGGTAAAAACACTACTTTACTACTTTTAAAGCCTATAAAAATAAATGTACAATATCTAAAAAAATGGAAGTTATTTTAAAAATATTTAATATTTATTTCTTGTGTCAAACTTGCATAGAAAAATAAATTACAGTACTCCCTAGTTTCTGATTCTGATATTCGGAAACACATTATAGTGAAGTTAAAATTAAGTTTAATTATCGAGCTATTTATCTTCATTTATAAATAAACAGTCATATGTGAATTCATTATTCAGTACTTTGATTTTAATTCATGTGAAATAAATGCCTGTAAGAAACTTTCACAGCACAGTTAGGAGATAATTTCATCTCCCAGAAAATTAGAGTTTCAACTAAATTATTAAAAACACCAGAGCCATTTAAAATTAAAGTTTGCTAGTAATGCAATATTTTACATGCTGTTTTACAACCATATATTAAGTGATTGGTTTAAGAAACTGAAGTGTTTGGGCTACTACTAATAAATTATAATTATTTACTAAGCACTAAGAGGTCAGTGAAATTTGAGCAGGTGATTTAGAATTTGCTTTAATTCATTTAAGCAGTATCACACGACTCAAGAAGTAGCTTTTCTAGCTACTTTAAAATAAGCCCACCTTACATAGCACGAAAGACATTCTATTTTTTTAAATTTCTGCTACATAATTACAAATATAATTTTAAAATATGCAGCTACAGCTACGAGTGTTCATTAAAATGCTGATGTCTAGCTACATGTTTTGGGAGTGTTATTGCTAACAGAAGTTGCTGCAATAGGTACTTCTGCAGGTGTAGAGAATGCCAGAAAAAATTCAAGAGCTAATCCACCTGTGAAGAGAAGGAAAAGAGCATTGAAACAAATACAGCATCGAAAAATATGCAAATTTTTCATTTAGCACTTCTTAAATTAGCAATCATTTTCCCCACAACCCCACTAGGGGTCGATAAATCTGCATATTTCTAAAGATCACTTAACATGGAAAAACTATAAACATCCTGAAACACTGATCTCTGGTATATTATTGGTGTCACTGGAAAAGCAATATACAACCACTAAAATTAGATATGGCAAAATTCAAAGAAGGTACAAAACACAGTAACTGTCTGCATTCGGTTTTATACTCATTAAAAAATGAATGCTTAAAACAGAGTATCCAAACTTCTGTAGTTGTACATCTAAATTTAGTCTCATAAGAATGTAACTTTTAAAGGATAATTCTCAAACCTGCGAAAGCTTTCAGTTATGTAAAGAATGGCAATATACAAATAAGCAGAAAGACAGAATTTACAGTTCAACACTAAAATAATGGATCAGATAAGGGAAAGACAAAGCGACAGTGAAGTTGAACCCCTAAGTAAGTGATGTTAGTAAGTTCTGCAGATAAAAGTCTACTCAATACATGACATAAAAACAAGTTCAGTAACAAATCTGTGACAAACAGAAAATGTTTTGATTAGTTTAAATGAACTTCATAAGTGTAACCTAAGTGATGAGATTAAATAATTTCTTCCATTTTAAAATATCTAAGTCTACTGGTAACTTTTTCATTTGTGATTACCTTGGTTACAGCCTTTACAAATGGGTATCTTTCTTAATTAGGTACACTAAAGTATAACAATATGAATGTCTCTTAATAAGGAGGTTCAAATGAATAAAAGGTTCAAATGGATTCCAAAATATTTAGTGCACATATGTTCTATAGAACAAAAGATGTTGAACTGTAGAATTCTGACACAAGCCTATGCCATTTCAACCTCTTTTGTTCTATAGCACATTTTAAATTAGTCCGTTCAATACTTCAATACATGAGTTCTGTGCACACTGGAATGCTAATTTAGCTGCTAAATAGTTAAGATAATTAGAACAGTATGTTTAGAGGCAATCTTACAACCTGGAGTTGCAAGACCTCTCAGAGATTTGTAGTCATAGAAAAGTTAGTGCTTAAGATGCCATAGTGTAAAGTACTCAGAATTAAAATAAAAAAAACTGCCAAGTGTCCCAGATTACTTTGTATATAAAATGCAGGACTTCACATACTGTACTGTAGAAAATTTCTGCACTTTATAGCTTAAAGCCAGAAAAGAGTGACAAAGGAAAGCTTTTAGACAATTATATATTTCATGGGCTAAATGTACCATTTCAATACTTGAAGTTCAGTATAAAGGAAGATCCTAGAAAGGCAGCTGTACTTCATTCTACTTCCAGAGATATCCTGTATCATATTTCAAGTGTATTCTTCCTATAATCAGGGTTGAACAATTAATTAACCAGTTAAGACTTGAAGGAGAACCATCACTGAAGAATCGAATAATAAGCACTGGGGTTTTTGTTTGTAATTCGGTCTACTCCCCATATTAAGCTCATGGAAAATTAGATCTGTTTTTTAATTCCCAAGTACTACTATACTATTTTTAACCAAAAGCATTACCAATTTATGAAAACAACAAGATGTAAATGTAAACATATCCTAACAGCCCCAGATTTTCTTCTCTCTCTCTTTCTCTCTCTCTCTATATATATATACACATACATTACACTCAAAGTCTTTATGCAGAGTCTGAATTGAACAAAGCTGTTATTTTGGCATACTTGAAAAAGACAACTGCTGTGCCCCTTACACCTTTCTCCCTTGAGGATTTCATTTTGAGGACCTGGAAGATTTTGGCACAGTCCCACAGCATAGTCTAAACCAGCTAATTCCTATTGTAACTGCAGTAATTAGGACTCAAGTTACAGCAGGCATGACACTGCCAAATATAACTGAAAAATTTCTGCTTTTTCTTCCAAAAAGCCTCATCTTTTTACATTTACAAACACACATCTGTGACTAATATTAAAGGGGTACTTTGACAATACTTTTCTTCTTAGGCGAGTATCCAAGTATTTCCTTTTATAAATACACCTTATACCTAGGCAGCATTGACATGAAAAAGATGTATGAATTGTAAGTGATATCTTGCTACAGTACTAAAACAAAATAAACTGAACACTGCCAAAATCTACTACCATAAACATATAGGGGCAACTGGTATCATTAGGCAACTGCATTTCCCTGAGATAGATTAAACTGAATTTATAATAGAAGGATGTCTATGCCGGTCTTCTAGCAGACTGATGAATTCAAAGGTGTGAGCCTCCATACAAATGTGTTCTGAATAAATATCTGGTAAATAAGAACACATCTGTAACAGTATTGCATATAAAATGTGAAATGTTTGCCAATTGAGAAGTCAACAATACTTTAATAGGAAAACACTTTCTAAAACAAAAATAATTTCTCTATCTTGGTAAAAGTCCAGTTATACAGTAATTCATCAGCCTCTCATTTTAAGTATCACTGCTCTTTTGGTTCTTGTCATGTTTAAAGATTAGTAAGTTACATATAGATTCAGAAAGTTTTCCTTAACTTTCCAGTTCTGTAACTTCTCTGAACTTAGGATTTGCTTTCTTTATTCATATTTTGCAGTGCCAGTATATTCAATGCCAGGTTGGATGGGGCCCTGAGCAACCTGGTCTAGTGAAAGGTGTACCTGTCCAAGGCAGGGGAGTTGAAAGTGGATGATCTTTAAGATCCCTTTCAACCCAAGCCTTTCTATGATTACACCAAAGCAATTAAATCTTCATGCTAATTATGAATTTTTTCAACTAAAATATAATTTATATTTTCAAAACCTGAAATTTACATTTTTCTTACAATACTTAGAGCTTAGGAATGGTAAGTGAACTCTGCCTACTTTCTGGTTCACATAATAAGTCCACTACCAAATCATCTCCATTGGCAATTTTCAAGTGACTTTCTAGATCAAAGATACTAAACTCCTTCCTATACTAGGAAACATCAGTACCTAAAATCATTTAAGTCTGTAAATCAGAAAGAAAAATAAATTAAAGTTTACCTAAATTCTCTGCATCCAAAACTGTGTACAGAACCTTTGTTATGATGGTTTAGAACGGAGTTATTACTATTTTAATGAGTTTTGTTAATGAAGTTCTGGGCCTTGTTTTAAATAAAAAGTCTGAAAGAACAATTCATCATAGATCTTAAAAAAATAAGCAAAAAAATCTATCAATCCTATTAGCATTTTATACTGTAATTAAATTATCTGTGGGCAGACAGGGGGTTAACTACACCACAGATAACAGGAGCTAAAGCTCATAAAGATACAACTGAAACCTGAATGCACATATCCATTATACCTGTTAATTATTACACCATTTCCTAATTTGTAGAAAGGTGCTCTATTCCTAAAAGCCAATGAAAGCCTAGTTTTTTATCTCTGAAATGGTCAGAGTCTGATTGACGGGTCAATGATCTATTAAAAAGCAGTAACTACATCAGCAAGGTTTACATTTGCAAGACACTGCAACTGAAGTTTAATATACCTATTACAAGAAATACAATATGCTACATAAAGTATTTCCTCCAATCTAAACACTAAGGCAGGAATTCTAAATTTAAAGGTTTTTTAAATGAACCATTATTAATAGATTGTTAATCTGTATTGATTTGCTACACATGGAATAAAATTAAAAACAGCTTTAAAAATCCTCTTCCAATAGTTACTCTAGAAACGTTGTGATGCTACATACTTGACCTTAAAGTACCCCTAATATACCTCAGAAATATTCATTACTTTTATTCCATATTTCACTCTTCATTAATAGTATTCACTCACCATGATAATCACCAAGCATTAGGTCAAAGTAACTTAAGAGGGTGACATAGCTTCAGCTTCCTGTCATTCCTGAATATTAATGGTAGCCTAAATCCCTGTTTTGAAAATTACATCCAAATAGTTCCATCAAGCCCTATACATCCAAAAGCAAATCACACTAATTCCACCTCTAGTTAACAGTTTCTTTATATCTATCCCATACTACAGCTTCAAGCTACAAATAAAATTACAGAAATAACAGACAGCAATGCATCAGAAGACAAAGCATTATAGCAATATAATGCAAAAGTGTAACTTACTTTACCCGCCAGAATTTTCATATATCCCCAACATTAAAGTTTTAGGAGACAAAGTGTATTCTTTTAACTTCGCAGCTTTGATTTGGTACTGCTTGATGATGAACATCCTAAATAGCAAGCAGTTAATAACTTGATGCCTAAAATATGTAAAATGCAATCATATTGCCCTTTACCTGCTGAAAAGGTGGCCCAGTAAGAACTACATAAATTAGGATATTCTTTAAATTATAAATTTTAACTTCTACTGTAAGCTTTCCCCTCCATTATTTGTATATTTGATTTTACACTCCTCCTACACGTAGCATACAAAATTAAAGGATTGATTCATCAACCTTACAACAGAAGAAACTGAATTATTCATAGCCATCTTTGGAGTAGAAGAACAGCAAGCAGTGTAGTAACACTTAGAAACTGAAACAACTCTGGGATGAAGTGATGAACTCATTCCATATTTGCTTACAACTTGTGCAAGAAAAAGAAGGATGATCCTCATGCCAACTACTCCTGCTGGCACTGCAAGTGAATCAATACACCAGCAACATCACCTACCCACCAAATCAACAGGCAGCTTGGTCCACATGCATATGTATTAAAAGGAACCCAATGGAAAATAAAAAATGATGGAAGAAATCGAGCTAAGCAACTTGTAGCTGAAGCAAATTTATATTCTACATAAGAGTGAGGAATGTATCATATGGGCTTAAAAGAAAATTATATGTGCAAGTGAATGGCAGCTCTAGGAGATCTAAGTGGATTGCATGAGACCAGGCTAGTGGGACCTAACAAGAAGCCAAGAGAACATGCACGTGGGAGAAAGTACATGGACATGTGGGCAAGTGGGGAAATGAACAG